CCCCCCCCCCCCCCCGCTCCCCCCCCCACACACCCAGAGAGGAGCATTCATGGAATTGGGCTCGGGGTCTGTGGTGCTGGTGATTTGCCATGAGGGAAGGTCAAACGGATTCAGGGATTTAGGACCTGGGGATTTCAAGGGGCTTCAGGGTGCTGTGTTCAGTGTTTAGGAGAGAGAAGGGGTTCTAGGGGTTCAGGGGCTTCGGCTTAGGGCTAATAGAGCTTAAGGGTTTAGGGGTGCGGGTTCGATGAATGGATGACGTCGACTGGAACTGGTCAGGTGAGAGTCTTGCAGTTTAGGTCTTGGAGGAAACACAACGACACCCCAGTCTCCGCTTCGGCAAAAACCCAGGCATTCGTTCTAGGACCCCCAAACCCCAAACCCCAAACCCCAAACCCCAAACCCCAAACACGGAACCCTGAATCCTGAACCCTAAACTAAACCTCAACGCAACATACACAAGCATCGCATTTCACGTAAAGTCGCGGCTGCGGGTTGGGTCTGAGCAGCCCTATGCCCTGAGCAGTGCGCCCTCTCAACCCTCAACCCTGCCAACCCTGAAGCATAAAAACCCCTAAACTTGGGGTTGAGGGTTAGGGTTTCCCTTAACCCTAAAAACTAAACTTAGGGTTTAGGGTTAGGGTTTCCCTACACCCTAAAAACTAAAACCCCCAAAACCCTGCATCCTCCACCCCTAAACCCTAAACCCTACACCCCTTCTCCAGTTCCGGGACTCTGGCAGGATAAGGCCCTTCTTGGCGTGGCGACCTGCGCTGTTCTTGAAGTTTGGGGTTTAAGGGTGTAGGGTTTAGGGTTTAGGCGGGTTTGGGGGTTAATTGGGTTGTCAGGTCTGTTACGCCAGTGCTTTCTCCTACTACCATCCCGGTACACTGGAGGTGGCCCAGCAGACCAGAATTACGAACTTACGAACTCAGAGCTGAGGGCTTATAGGGCTTAGGGCTTTAGGCTTAGGGCTTAGGGCTTCGGGCTTCGGGCTTAGGGTTTAGGGCTTAGGGTTTAGTGCAATAAAGGGTGCGGGAGGCTCTGCAGGACTACTTGCGGATGCACGTCGTGCCCGCTTTACCTGAGATTCCTCCCCGAAACCCCTATCAGCCTAAACCCCCACCTTAAGCCCTAAACCCTAAACCCCAAACCCGAAACTACCCGAACCCCCCACGCGTTTTCAACCCTCAAGCAACCCCAGCCCAGATCCTCCAAAAGAGCCTACCTTGAAGCCTGAGGTACCCCAGCTTGGGCATTCATACTAGGACCCACCAGAGTAGGCCCTTGTTGGGTTTAGGGTTGTTTAAAGGGTTGTTTAAGGTTTAGGGCTACTGGGACCCAGAGTAGGCCCTTATTCCCCTTTTTTTGGTGGAGTTTAGGTTTCCAACAGAGTTTGGCCTACCCCAAAAAACCTCAACCCCCAAGCCCAAATCCCTGATGAGACTATGATATATTGAAACCCTGAAGCCCTAACAACCTCAACCTCAAATCCACACCCTCAACCAAAACCTAGTCCTAAATCGCGGGGCATGAGCAATCTCAGACCAAGCCTCTCCATGTCAGCATTCCAATTGGGATTCGTAACCATGAAGCCCCCATAGAACCCCTAATTTACTACTTAGTAGATCCCTAATGCCGTGGCGACGGTACCCATATTTTGTGTTCTTGACGAGCCGCAGGAGGCACCACCAAACTTGCTTCTCCCGCGTTTTGGCACACTAAATGGTGGCGCAAGCCTAATCCCTAAATCCTAACTAAACCCTAAGCCCGTGGCGTCAACGTCTTTTGCCTTCCCCCAATAAGAAGGCCCCGAGAGGACAAGGCCTCCAGGATGTTTGACTTCTTGTGGCTGTAGGACTTAGGGCTTAGGACTGAGGGTTTAGGATTTGTGGGCGAGAATGGCCTCTTTCTGGGTCAGGCCTTGCTTGGGCATTCGAGTTTAAGTGTTAGGGTTGGTCTAGGGTCTAGGGTCTAGGGTTGAATTCGGGCTCCACAGGGTGCAGGAGTTTTGTTTGTTTTTCAGGGTTTGGGGTTATAGGGCCTGGTGAGAATATCTTCGGGCAGCCAAGCTTGAAACCCTACACCCGAACCCTGCACCCCAAACCCTGAATCCTAAACCCCAATCCCTAAACCCCAAACCCTAAACCCCAAACTCGAAACTCTGGCCTAGGTTTCTGAGGAACTGCTGCTCCAGCTCGGGCGGAATGTGCTCGGCGACCTGGATGGTAGGGCGCAGGGACTCCTTGAGGGTTTAGGATTTAGGGTTGTAGGGCTATGTGTGTGCGCACCCACTGTGTCCAAGCGGCACGAGCTCACCTTTTCATGCCATGACTTTGAGGAATCTGTCGAATTTCTTGGTGATGCATCGCAGTCTCTACTTCACAACTCAGCTGCGCCACGAAAACAGCACGTGAAACCCAAGGGCTTTGGGGGGGGGACGAGCGTAAAGTGCTGGACTGTGCCTTGGGAGTAGCTTGGTGCATTTTCCAACAGAAGGGGACTGTGCCGTGGATGTGACTTCGTGTGTTTCCAGCGCATGGTGTCTCAGCAGCAGGGCCTGTACCTTGGATGTGACTTGGTGGCTTCTTCGTTTCCAAGAGCAGGGGGTGTGAGGTCCTTTGACACAGCTCGTGCCAACGAAGCTCTATGTCATCGGACAGGAAAACGTACCTGCGCGTGGAGTACCTGGGCACTGTTGTTGCAGCTGGTATCCACTATGGTGCTTGTGACATCATGTATCCTCAAGGCCTGAATTTTCTCGATTTGTTTCAATTCGGAACGCTTGGGATGGTCTGCGCCTTGGACATCGGAACCTTGGATAACGCAGCTACGGCGGGAGCATCTCAGTGGGCACAGAGCCTTGGTTTCCTTCCCACCCATGAATGGTTTTGGTTTCGATCCATGTAGTAAACATGTCCCCTCAGCGCAGCGAGTGAAGTACTGTGGGTGTGGGCTGGCGCCCTGGATACCACAGAATGGGCAGCTCGTGACCCTCGTGGTCCTACCAAAACCATGCTATCGTCAGTGTGTGTGTGTGTGTCAGTGAGTCGGTATCTCTAAACCCTATAGTCCCTCAAACCATCAACACCCCTGGGGTGACAGCGCGCCTCCAAGCATAGGACCCAGTCAAACGGCTCGGGATGCCAGTCCTCAGGCAATGTTGGGCCCCTAAACCCTAAACCCTAAACCCTAAACCCTAAATCCTAAACCCTAAACCCTAAACCCTAAACCCTGAACCCTAAACCTTAACCTTAACCTTAACCCTAGACCCTAAACCCTTCACTAGTTAAGGCTGAGGGGTTGGGACAATCTGGGTCCAGCAAGTATAGGTTATAGGTTATAGGCATGTCTGGAGCTGTTCAGTAACCCCCTAAACCCTTAAACCCTAAACCCTAAGCCCTAAGCCCTAAACCCTAAACCCTAAACCAAAACACCCTACATACCCTGAACCCTAAAACCCTAAACCGGCCGGAGGGCTTTGCTTCTTTGCGTCCTTGCTGAACACTCTTCAGCCCCCGAAGGAAGAATGCGCAGCAATGCTGAAACACAACTTGGCTTAGGCTTAGCTTGACAGTCCCGAGAGACCGAGACCCTAACTAATCTTTCAACCCTAATTTCACCCTACTTAAACCCCAAATAAATCACCTAAACTAAGCCCTAAGTAAGCCCAACTGAAACCCAAACCGAACCCTACTCTAAACCCCAATTCAACCCAAATTAAACCCTTAGGCTAACGTTTCAGCTATTTAATTTCTTGGGTTCGCGGGGCACGCCTGCCCTTGAATCTTTAGGTGAATTGTCTCGAGTCCGGGCTTTGATCTTCTTTGGTGACAGCCCATCGAAACACAGGTTCTAAACAGAACCGCTTCTAATGTCTATGCATTTAGGCTTTAGGGCTTAGGGTTTTGGATGTGTGGTTTAGGATTGAGGCTTTAGGTCTTAGTGTTAAAGGATTTAGAGCTCGGGTGAACGAGACCTCGGGGCGTGGCGATGTGCAGCTCTTCCGCGAGGTCGACCTCCCCAACCCTAAGCCCCAAACCCTAAACCATGAACCCTAAACCCTGAACCTGAACACTCAACCCTCAACCCAGAGCCCCAATTCCTAGACCCCCCCTAGAGCTCATAAACCCAAAAACCCTAGAACCCTAAAGCGCTTAAAACCCTAAAAACCCTAAAAACCCCAAAATCCCTAAAACCCCTAAAACCCCTAAACCCCTAAACCCCTAAAATCCAAAACCCTGACACCCGAAAACCCTACTCAAAGCCCTATAACCCGAACACCCTGAAAAAACCTACGCCCCAAAACCCTGAAACTTTAAACCCTCAAGCCCTCAACCTTCAACCCTAAAACCCTACGCCCCGAAACCCTAGACCCTAAACCCCAAGACACTACACCCCAAAACCCTGAACCCTAAACCCTAGACTTTCAACCCTAAACCCTAAACCTTTAACCCCCTAAACCCTAAGCCTTCAAAGCCTCAACCCCGGAGTCGCCACCCTCGGGAACCTCTGAGCATCTGCCCGGTAGGGTTTCAGAGCCTAAGACCTTAATTACATGGTGCAAAAAACGGGGCCATGATTTAGGGTTTGAGGGTTTAGGGTATAGAGATTTAAGGTTTAGGGTCTAGAGATTGAAGGTTTAGAGGCTTGCATCGGGTTCAGGGCTTTAGGGATGTAGGGGTTTAGGGTCACGAAGGAAGACCTCCTAAAGGCTAAACCTTAGACAGAGGGTTTGGAAGCGGGCCTGGAACTCTAAGTCCTAACTCTTAGACCCTAGGTTTGGCCCCGGCCTTTGGGGCGTCATCTGCCCAAAATGGGCACTCAACACTGTCCCGGGACCCTAGAACTTTAGATGTAGCTACTTTTAGGGGGTGCCAAACTCTGAATATTTCTCACTAACCAAAAGTTAAGATGGCAACAAGGAACTACAACTCCAGGGTCCAGAAGTAACCCTAAACCCTACACAAGCAACCCTAAACCCTAAACCCACCTCGGTGACGCGGCCGTCGGTGATGTCCGTGACCCCCGGGACGCCGTCAAACGCAAAGGCAGTGACCCAGCCAGTGTCGTTTAGCCACCTTGCGGGGTGAGGACGCCATTTAGGGTTTCGGGTTCAGGGTTTACGGTTTAGGATTAGCCCTTCTGAGATGGGCCCCGGGGGCTCAGCCTGTAGGATTTAGGAAATGTTGGGGCTTGTATAGTACCCTTTAGCACACTTCAACAACTCTCCACGCCTCTGCACTCTAAAGTGCTTAACACCTGATCAAGAACCCATGCAACAGTTTAGACAGAATGTTAAGAAGACTTTGCGTAGTAAGGTTGCTACCGAGTCTTCCAGCAAGACTACCTCAGCGTGCCCATTCACCGATCTGGAAATAGAAGAGTAGCCATGTGGAAGATTCGCACCACTATGCAATCCTGCACAAGAAAGCAAAGTTCAAGCAGGACCCCAATTCTTGTATTCGCAAGGGTTCGGGAAACTCGAGTGTCCAGCCTGGGCCAGAATGGCTGCACCCTCATGGGTTGAATCTCAGCGGATGGGCTACTGCACTGACAGACAAAGCAAAAACGCAAGACCTATATAATACCCCAAACCCTGAAACCCGATGACCCTATACCTTACACCCTAAACCCTTAACCCTAGACCCTAAATCCGTGAACCTTGAAGCCCGGACTCCTAAGAGCCCCCCCTAGGCCCTAGACCTTACAAGCCTTAAACGCTTATACAAACTCTGTAAACCCTCCCCTCAACCCTGAAACATAAATTCACCTGCGCGCTGAACCCTAACCCTAAACCCTAAACCCTCAACCCTAAACCCGAAACCCGAAACCCACGCCTCGAGTACTGGCCGTCGAGGGCACCGAAGTCGGCCAAGCTGGCGCCCTCCGGCAGCAGCCGAAGCCTCTTACTTTTCCTTTCGAATCGGGAATGGGTTTAGGGTTTAGGGTAGGGGGTTGGGGTAAGCCTCTTTCTTTTTCCGAGCTATTGAATCGGGAACTGGGGAAAGGTTTAGTGTTTAGGGTTTGGGGTTTTGGGGGTTTGAGTTTGAGTTTGTAGTTTAGGGTTTAGGGCTTGGGTTTTAGGGTTTAGGGCTTAGGCGGCTGCTAGTTCGAGGCCGCAAATCCTCTTATAGGGCCCTCTTAGGGATTCTTCTAGTTCTGTAGATTCCCTACTATCATAGGGTCCTTAAGGGAGGGGAGTTCGTGGGCGGTAGGTACCTAGGGAACCCTGGGGAAGCTTAGGGGAGCTTTCGGGAGGATTACTGAACCTGGGGTTGCAATTCCCCCAGCTCGAACGTCTTCGAACTCTCAAAGTCTCAACTTCGAAGCCCCTCGCACGTGACTCCCTTCCCTTGAACCGGGGTTTAGGGTTTAGGGTTTAGGGTTTAGGGTTTAGGGTTTAGGGTTTAGGGTTTAGGGTTTAGGGTTTAGGGTTTAGGGTTTAGGGCCCTCCCTTGAACATGCTAATCTAAGTCTGCAGGGCTGGGACTCCCAGAACCCTAAAACCCCCCCTCTGCGTTGCTGACGAAGCCAAAATTCCTGACACCTTTGAGATCCAAAAGCCTACCTAAACCCTAATCCTTAAGCTAAACCCTAAACCCTAAGCCGACGTTGAAAAGGTTTTGCTCGGGAGGGGGGAGGTCTCAATCCTACACACTAAACTCTTTAGGGTTCAGGGCTTGTCGGATGTAAACCCTAAACCCTAAGCCCTAAACCCGTGTCTCCCTATCCTTCCTAGCACCTTGGCTGTCAATCCTAGTCTGTGATGCTAGACTCCTGAGGTAGGAAAAACCCTGCAAACAAATGAGTTTAAAGCAATAGGTTAGGGTGGTTCTGCCACCTTAGTCGGCATGGCGTGGGAGAAAATACTAGATGACCCTCCACAATCGGGCCATAGCTGCTCTTCGCACCGGACGAAGTACAGCAAACCCTGCGACCGAAAGGCTAAGCCCTACCCCTAAAGCCTAAATAAACCCTAAACCCTAAACCCTAAACCCTAAACCCTAAACGCCCTAAACCCTACCCCTAAACCCTAAACCCTAAACCCTACTCCCAAGACTTTCATCCCTCACGCGAGGAGACTTAGCCTGCCCTGGGCTCCAGGCAAACGCCGAAGGAGCCCTTTGTCCAGGATGGCCGACCTGGCGGGAGAGGTTTAGGGTTTGGGGCTGCCAGGGGTTTAGGCTTTGGGGGGATTGTGGTTTTGGGTTTAGGGGCATTAGGGCTACTAGTCGTTATCAGGGTACTTGGGGGTTTAAGCTAACTGTTTACTTTCTTGGCTCGGCGTCTCATTTCTGAATTGGTCCTGATTTGCGCTATTCACCTAACCTGTGAACACTTTAGACTTTGCTATCATAATATGATCCTGGCCTATGAAGGCAGCTACTCCGCGTCAGGTGCCTGGATGTTTGTAGAGCGTAACTCATGACTTACTCCGCCTAGACCCTAAAACCCTAAACGCCCTAAACGCAGGTAACACCCTCAACCCCGAACCTTCAAAACACGCCGAACCCCAAGGGCCGAAGACCCAACCTCTACACACATGTGCTGAGTCCATCAAGGGCCCGTGCTCTGGGAAAAGGGTGCGATAGATCACCGTGCTGTTCATGAACATCCCATGCCTGGGCGACCAGACAGAAGACTTTACCTTAAACCCAAAAACCCCAAAAGCCCAAAAACCCCAAAACCCAAAAACCCAAAAAAACCTAAAGCCCCCTACCCCTATCCCCTAAAACCCTACAGTTCAGACTTGGGTTGAGTTGAACTTGCATTCTCAGGGTGCAGACTTTTTTTCGGCACAGGGTTCGGGTTCCCCGGGCTTGTGGTTGGGGGAACCTTGGTTTGGGGAACCCAAAACCCCAAAACCCAAACCCTGAACCCAACACAAGAGAGTAGCAGGCTGGGGAGCCAGGTACGAAACCCCAAACTTCAACATCCAGGTTTGTAGGTATGAGGGTTTATAACTTAGGGAACCCGAAATCGTTTCCAGAAACCAAACACAACTTCTGGGACAGATTGCTCCTGGTGGCCCCAGAAATGATCGGAGCCTGAGCGGAGTTTGGGTTCAGGTTTAGGGTTTGGGGTTTGGGGTTTAGGGTTTGGGGTTTAGGGTTTGGGGTTTGGGGTTTGGGGTTTAGGGTTTGGGGTTTGGGGTTTGGGGTCCGCCAGCGCAACCGGTGCCAAAACAAACCCTACACGGCCCTAAGCCTTAAACCAGTCAGGCCCCCTTCCCTCCTTGTAGAAGTTCTTATAGTACCTAGTGCCGAAAGCATGGGCGCATTCGCTGCGCCCCACCAGAAGTTGCTAATGGGCGAAGTACAGCCCCTGAAACCTAAGACTACATGAGGCCTACATTTTTTCCTGGTCTACTACACGCCAGAATTTAGGATCGGTGTGTCTATTGCGGGGGTCAGGTCTAAGGGGCTTGCGTTGAGCTCTTGGCCTCAAAACTGCTGCCTGATTCCCGAAAAAGATCATCAACTTCTGTCATCCAAGTCCCCTAATAGAATGGCTCGAACAGGTGAAGTATAAGGGAGCCTGTACCCTGAACAAAAGGAAACAAGGAATTCCAGGGATCCTAGTTCTCATTCTTAGCTACCTTGTCAGGCCCTAAATCCCGTACTAAGTGTCCATTACAGTGAAGTTATATCACTAAACTTGCCCAAGCCACGAGAGATCCTAAAAACACGCAGGAAGCCCTAAACTCTAAACCCCTCAGCCCCTCAACCCTAAACCCCAATAAGGTTTAGGGCTTGGCTTACCTATGGCATGCCCTAAGCCCTAAACCCTAAACCCTAAACTCTAAGCCCTAAACCCTAAACCCGCAACCACACAACTTGAGGCCCAGCGACGCTGAAGCGCAGCGGGCAGACCTCCCAGGAGCTCGGCGAAGAGCGCCTCGTTCGCGCACAGGCGGGCCGTATGCGTTTAGGGTTTCGGGTTTAGGGCACGGGGTCAATGAAGGGTTCAAGAGTTTGGGTTGTAAGGTTTAGGATTCCGCAACCCCTCTCTCCGAACATACAACCTGAAGACTCAGCTTCTTGGTTCAGTGCGCCCGAGGAGGGTGTTGTCGGTTGTAGGGTTAGGAAGGATGTGCCCTTGAGTGCCGGCGTCATTTAGGGGTTAGCACTTATGCTGCTCTCCAAGCGTGGTTCGCGACTGACTAAGTAACCCAGAAACCATAGCATAACAAAGGAACCTCTTTTTTGGGCATGGTTCGTTAGATAAAGCATTCCAATCCCCAAGTGCAAACAAACGAAGCCCTGAAGCCTGGGGCAAAAGGTTAACCTTGGTTTCCTACTTGAGCCGCTCTGCAGTTTAGCCTCAATCAGTTCATGGGCTCCCCTACTACCCCCTCTATACTACCACAATCTAAACTCCTCTAGGTTCCCCCCATAATTAAGGCCATTTAGGGACAATTCTGCCTACCTAAGGCTATTGAAGTAGTGGGGGAACCCATCAGTTCTTGTCAGCCCTATGAACACAACCACATATGAAGCTCAATGGCTTATGGGCGGTGCTGGGGTTCAAGTTTGCCCTAAGCCAGCAGAAGCCGTAAAGCCCCTGAGCCTAAAAGCCCTAGGCTCCTAAACCCTAAACCCTAAACCCCGAACCCTAAACCCCAAAACCTCCCAAGCCCCTCAACCGTCAACCCTCACCCTGGAAGCCCTCGGCCACCTCCGCCTGCTGAAGGACTTTCAACAATGCCTGCGAAGAAGAGTTTAGGGTTTAGGGTTTAGGCTGTTTAGGGTTTAGGGATATCACTGGCTTGCAAAGGGCAACGCCGGCATGGTTTGGTGTGTACTAGGGTATTAGAGATTTAGGGTCTTAGGGTATTCGGGTAGTAGGGTCTTGGGGGGGGTCTTAGGGTACTGGGGTGCTGGGGCGTCTGAGGGTCTTCGGGTATTGTAGGGTAAGGTTCAGGGCTGGACTCCAGTTCTGGGCTTAGGGGGGTCTACCTAAAGGCTTGTGCCCCACCTTTTTGGGTGCCTTCTCAGGGTTAGGATACGACATACGACAAAAAGGGCAGTCAGGTAATTGGGGCGGCAGGTAGGGTTCTGGCTGTATCTGGTTTAGTAGTCTTGAAAGACAACAATGGGATTGGTGCACAGGGACTTGGGCATGCGATGTACCTCTAAGCTCGGGTATGTGTGTGTGTGTGTGTGCACATAAGGGTTTGCGAATTTTGGGTCCGAAACCTAACGGTTCAGAGGCGCCGCTTCTTGTTTATTCGGCTGAGATTGGGCCGGAACAAGGGGAATAAGGGTACTAATTCGTTCTGACTAGTAGTGTGTCGGAGTCGTGCAACAAAATTTGCCAGTGCAGAAGAGTAACCAAAGAGTACTGGATAGTGCGAAACGTTGCCGAAACAGAACAGAAGACGACAGCAGCCAACGGCATCCCCCGCGGCTACACTGTTTTCAGAAAATTTCAGGGTTGACAAACCAGTACTAAAACATGAAAGCCTCCAGCCACTCGATTGGGGTTCAATGGCTGGTACCTAAGGGGACTTAAAAGCTTCGTTGAGATCGTCCAACGAGCTCCTGATGATGTTGAGTTAGTTGAGTTTCCCTGAACCCTCAGGGGAAGGAAAACCAAAACAGACTACCCCAAACCCTAAAACCTATCGCGTCCCGCTATACGGTTAGGCTTAAGGATGCCGCGCGCCTGCAAATGTTTTGCTGGATTGTTGGTGTTTGAGAACTGGCCGATGTCGAACACCCACCACAGCGTCGACACCTGCTCTCGGCTGCTCCCTAAACCGAAGACCCTACAGCCCACAACCTATACGCCTCCCCCCTAAATCCTAAACCCTATAAGCCCCAAACTCAAGGCTTAGGCCGCCCCCTACAGTGAAGGGAGGGGGGGCGCTTCAGCCCTTCGACCTCGACCTGGCACAGCTCTGAGGTCGGTAGCACCCGGGGCTTGCAACCCCCGCCGCACCCTCGAGACGCCCCTTTCGACTGGACTGACGTACCGTCAAAAACGGTAAGGAATAGGCTGGGTGGCTTTGTCGCCGTAGACGGCGTGGGGTGGGAGAAAGTGCTAGATGGCCCTCCACAATCAGGCTGGCTGCTCGCACCTGACGAAGCTTTCGAGCCAATTCTACGAGTACACCCTGACCTTCACAGCAATCTGCACCATATCACAGAAAACCCGAGACCTAAACCTGAAATCCCAAGCCAAATTGAACCCTTCGGGTTAAAGAGGCCGTGAAATGGATCTCCCAGTCTGCCCAATCTCTTTTCAAGATTCGGATCCCGGCGGTCGCCTATGCCTCTGCAAAGCGCAAATGACTCTTCGGAAAACCGGGGAACGGGCGCCCCAGCACACAAACCCTCTAAAGTCAGAAGCCAGGCGGCTAAGGCTGATTGAAAGGATTCCTGAACCCTGAACCCTGAACCCTAAACCCTAAACCCTAAACCCTAAACCCTAAACCCTAAACCCTAAACCCTAAACCCTATCGTTGCTTCATGGGGTCTCGGCTCAGGGGGTTTCAGGGGTTTAGGGGCCCCAAGGCCCGACGACAACTTGCTGCTTAAGCCCTACTCCCAAAACCCGACCTTCAACCCTGCAAGCGAAACCATCGTTTAGGGTTTAGGGTTTAGGGTTTAGGGTTTAATCGATGGCTCACCAAAATTGGGAAGAAACAGGTGTATGGGGTTTAGGGTTTCAGGGTACCCTAAGTTGAAAGGGGGGGAATGTTTCCTCAACAGAAAACTGTCACATGCAAGCGCGAAACCGCTCTTTCATAACGACCACTTCGAAGGGGCAAACTATCCACCTGAAAAGCGCCATGAGATGAAGTCGCCCTAAACCCCTAGACCGTTAAACCCCTAAACCCCTAGACCCCTAAACCCCTAAACCCCTAAACCCCTAAACCCCTAAACCCCTAAACCCCTAAACCCCTGAACCCCTAAACCCCTAAACGCCTAATGTCTAAACCTCGACTCCACAAAAGCGTGGCTGGTGATGTACTCTCGTTTCCCGGGCCCGAGCATGCTTCGGCGATTCGCCGCGCATGCGGTTTAGGGTTTTGGGGCTTCTGGCCCAGGGATCTCGGCTCAGAGGTTTAGGGTTTAGGGTTTGTATAGGGTTTAGGGTTTAGGGTATGAGTGTAAGAACCTAAGCCACAAATATGTAGGGTATCGACTATGCACCTTCTGAGAGTCAGAGAGTGTCGCTTCACAAGATTTTGCATGCCGCCTTAGGTGAGGGTTTAGGGTTAGGGTTTGAGCCCCAAATCCGAAACCCTCAAAGGACTGTAAGCCTGCATTGGTCTCAGCGTTCCAGGCGGCACCGCCCCGTTACGGGCAGCTTCCCAATTTGCTTCGGGGTCAGGCAGGGTTGCCGTGTAGTGTTTAGGGTTTAGGGTTTTTGGTTCAGGGCTTAGGGTTTATGCAAGGTCTAGGGTTCGGGCGAGCGCAATTCCCAACTAATGCGAATCTGAACGCGCCTTTCTTGAACAAGATCTTCTTCAAACCATTCAGGGCGATTACAAGGGCCTACCGGAGGGTTTATGGTCCAAGTACCTCAATAGGTTGTTTAGGGTTTTGGATTTAGGTTTTCGCCTGGGCTATAATAGTACTGCTTACATAATGACCTTAGCGCCCG